CCCCCCGGTCCCCCCATGTCAAAAAAAGCCCGGTCTAGGTAGGGTTAATTTAAATTTTTCTCATGATAGCTTTTTTTAAATTTTATATATATATCTGTTTATCGTGTTTTGTTTTAACCTGTACTTAGCCCAGTTGGGCAAAAATATGAAACAAAGGTCATCATTCATTCATTAAAAAAATTGAACATGTTACCTGCGCCGCCATTCTCTTGAGTCTGTCCTCCATCTCTGTTTTCTCCCGTGTAAGTGCCCGGATGATGTCGTCCTGCCGTTTGGTTTTCCTCTCTGCCTTGAGCAGCTCGCGGTGTTTGGCGTTCCCTGTCTGCCGGAACTTCTCCTTCTCAGCTTCAGACTCCTTCATCTGCGTCTCCAGTCGGCTCTGCTGGTCCTGAAAGAAGCAAAGGAAAATGTTAGAAAAACAAAGCTAAACTAGAGAAGTAACATTTGCAAAGCAAATGCATTACGTTTACCTTTGGACATGGTATGCTCTGTTAATTCTTACTCAAACACATTCACATACATGTACTACTAGCACATGTAACGTTATATGCTGACAGGAGCAGAGCAGACCATGAAATTGCAACATTATGTAACCCACACCAGTCACTATGGTGACAGACGTAAACAAATCATGTCATTGGTCAGGTCAGAGGTTAGTGTTTGGAGAAGAAGAAGAAACTAAGTAAAAACAATATGTTTTCCTTCGGTAAACATAAAATTACCCTTACTTTTGAAACACAACTGTGTGAATTGTAAAGGCCATGTTCTCAATAAGGTAAATTTGTCCGGGTCGAGCCGATACGATTTGATCCAGCTTCGAGCCGGATCGAAGCCAGATCAAACTGAATCAATTCGGTTCGATCCGGACAGTGTTATCCCGGTGGGAATGGAGCCATAGTCTCCTAGCTTTCTGGATTGGATTAGAACCCAGACCGCCAGCTCACCAACCCAACCCACTAACCGCAATTGCAAGTTCAAAAGATAGGAACATGTTGGACTGGTAAGTTGGTGGTGCTTGCTTCCCTTTTTCCACAACTATAGAATTATACCTACTTACAGATAGACATGGTAGTGGTCGTCATTTCTCATATGTATTTCCTCCCGGTCCTAATTGCGTAGCACATAGGCCCACCAGAAAAACGTTCGCCCATAACGTAAACAATTCTGTCACCTGCGCATAAAAGGTTTGTCGCTGTTTGTAACTAAACCTGCCTACAAAAACTGGGTTTGCGTTCCTGGACCTTAATGCCGGCCCCGCTTCATCTTAGATTGTCAAACGATTTTCATATCGCAGTGTTTTCAAGCAGGCTATGGCAGAAAAAGCGAACTAACTTTATCAGAAGTTTATCAGCGAAGCCTCTATCAGGCTTTCAAAGTGCCTGAAATGACAAATAAATTGGCGAAAAAGCAGGTAACATATTCAGGGGAGTTCGTCCACTAAGCGGGTGCATTTTTTGCTCAATTTCTACTCTTTTCAGCCATTTCCGAAGTCTGGCATCGTATAGAGGTTACCACTATAATACCAGTGAGAAATAGCTCTAATAGAGCTTTTTCCGCAAGACGGCTGATTTTTCAGGACTGATACATGCAATACGTTTGTGATCGTGCGACGTTCGTACAACGTTTGATACTATGTCCTTACCAAAGAGTCCCGTAGTCTCCTCTCCGCCCGTTTGATCTGCTCGAACACGTCGTGCTCGCTGTGGTCGGTCTGCACGCCTCGGTCCGCCGCGTCACGGACCATCTCCTTAAACTTCGCTTCCAGCTTAGCCAGCTTCCGCCGCAGTTCGTTGTTAACCTGGAAAATATATATGTAGCGTTTAACGATGTACCTATCTTTATTACATTCACAGGTTGATGATATGGTATGTCCTGCCCCGTACCTCTTCCCTCATGTTCTCAATGAATAGCGACTTGCACATGACAATTTGAGCTTTTATGAATGAATAATAGCAAGAATCAAATAGTGAAAGGATTTTCAATGGGTTGTTACGAAAACAAAATCTACGCCATTTCTTCTGAATTCTGAAAGATATCTGCCACAAAAAATAAGACCACGCCATGTCCAGATCAGAAGATGTAAAATTGTTCTGCTGCGGTACCAAGAAAAGCCGCTAGGAGGCCTATAAATAACAAATATCTGCGTTCCTCCACGAGCTAATAGGGTTTTCTATATGCCTCGCATAAGCATAATACTTCACGATACTCTTTCAGTTGTATGTAAGATTATACCATCGGGTGTTACTTTCGGGTTCGAAAATCTAGCTTTTGTTGCAGTATCTGATTGGAATTGTCCTGACAGAGTAGCCTCTACCAGGCTTGGGGAGGCGGCTGGAAAGAGTAGAAATCGGCCAAATAGAGAGATAAGCATGTCAAGGGAGTTTGTCCGTTGAGAGAACATTTCGCCGCACCCCAAGCCTGTGCGGAGTCGCCATTTCTTGAGGTGCGGCGAAATGTATGTTCTCTCAACGGACAAACTCCCTTGACATGCTTATCTCTCTATTTGGCCGATTTCTACTCTTTCCAGCCGCCTCCCCAAGCCTGGTAGAGGCTACTGACAGAGTAGGTTAACAGTACATGGGAGGATTTACAGGCAGAATGGTGACAGAATCAACAGTGTTCAATGTTCTTTAAGATCCTCACGAGTCACGAACCACAAAATATTTACAACTCCCTTTTGCCTGTTCATGCATCTCACAGTCATAATACCAGATCTTCCGCACATAACTTTAGATTACCAATACCAAAGTCCAATAGCAGAAAACGCTCATTCCTGTATCGTGCAGTCGTGCTCTGGAACGATCTACCATCTGACGTTAAGACACTGTGCGATGTTATCAGTTTTAAGAAAGCCATTTCAAACAGTAGTAGTGTCACCTGATCCTTGACCCTTGCTCGCTACTTTTAAATTGTTAATATCTATGTGTATTTATTATTGATGTGGTGTACATGTATGTATGTATGTATTTTTAAATGTTTCTACTTTGTTGTTATTATGTCATTTTAATTGTTTGAGCCTTGGAAGATTAGCCCTTCGGGGCTAAAAGGTTTCGAAATAAATGAAATGAAAGTGTTCGAACCTGGCCGGCAGGAATTAGAGGTAGACGTGTGGGATTCCATACTTATTGCAGGTGTGAAAAAGCCGATTTAATGTTAGTAAACGGTTTGCACACATCAATGCATGACGTACCTTGCCGTTTTTCCTGGCCTTGAACTCCACGTTGTTCTGTTTCCGGCGCAGCGTGTCATATGTTTCCTTCAGCTGCTGGTACGTGTCCTTCAGCTCTCTCAGCTTCTCTACGGCGTCGTACTCCTTTGAACAAAACCTGTCCAGAAATAAACAACGTATCTGTTAACCAAACTGCCAATAACATTAAATGTACAGACATCAACGAACGAAGTGTCATCCAAGAATACATCCGTGAACACGTGTTCACGTGAAGGCAGAGCGGAGGAACGGAGCGGAGACACAGCGTTCACGGATGGATTCCAGGCTATATTGAAGGCACCCAAGGCAATGCAATTTCACGAGGAAATCTTTTTACTATTCACAATTTCTTTCTTAGCATGATTTCGTCAGTTTTTGGGGTGTCGCCTAAGCTAGAACCAGATTATTATACAAAACAAGCAGCCGTTTTCCGTCAGCGACATCGTATTTTGCCTTACAGGTATCAGTTTGCTTTGAATTCGAAATATTCGTTGATTCAGCTTACTACATTAAAACAATGACCAGAAGATTGACTTTGAACATCCAGTTTTGCCAGGAATTCTTACTACTGGATGCATTTGAAGGAAGTTGACGTCTATATCTTTTCTTTAATGTAATAATAATGACGTCTTTTAGCAGCATTTTTTCGTTTTAAAAGGTAACAGGTTTGTGAATCTTACTTGTCTTTTTCCCGCCTGATTCCGTCCCGGTCTTCCTTGATCCGCCGGTTTTCGTCCATTAACCGCTGGATCTCCCGGTTTAACAGGTCCCGCTGCCGCTGCAGTTCCAGATTATCTCGCCTGAGGACCTCATTCTCGCTGAAAACCGACCTGCAAGACAACAACATTTGGGTATAAACAAAATGAAAACATAATCCGTCAAATGCTCTGCACACATTTCTAAGCAAAACGCAAAGATCAAACAATGACATATTCTGTAAAGGGTTTTGATAAACGCGAAAACTGAAAAAATTGTCCTACAATGCATTTTCTGCGACATCGGGGATACCAACTCCAGACATCGTCGGACGCCTGTCCTCGGTTGAGTGACCAGGCAACAAGGTTTAATGTATGTATTACTCCGCCTGGATACGAACTAGTTCCCACCCCAAAAAGTAAACGACTGTATGAAAGTGTGTTTATATAAGTAAGAAATTATACCCTCAACGGATCTAAAACGTAAAAGTAGTAAAAGTTTTTTTTTTGGAATCTAAGAAATTAGTTCGTATTTGTTTAATCTCCAAGCAGATCTTTTGGTGGGGGTAAGACAGTATCAAATTGGCCAGTCTGTATCCATTTCCCCACCCAAGATCTGCCTGCACTCGAACAGGGAGGAGCGCTTCTTTTCAAAAATGGTGTTGCTGCCCCTCCTTGTGTCCCTATTAATTGTGCTAAGATTTTTACAAGCGGTTTATAGCTTGAATCTGGGACAAATGCAGTCACCCGCGCACATCTCAGTGGGAGTTCTCGCCTAACTCTGTACAGATAATACTATATGCTGGTACTAAAATATGCTGGCTGAAACATAGAAATGTCAATAACTGGGTTTATTGTGGTTCAAAACCGCAGATATTACAAAACATATGTTGGACCTTCTTTCCTTTAGTTAAACTGAACAAAATAAGGGGACCCATAGAGAGTAATGCTCAACCAGCTGGCCCACTAGTAGGAGGGCAAGAGCCTTGCCTGGTGGTCAGGCAATAAACTACTTGGCAAGAATATTTTGATCAGGCAACAACTAGGTGTTAATAGCCTTTGACGTTTCGACTGGAGGCAGATCTTGGGTGGGGGAATGGATACAGACTGGCCAATTTGATACTGTCTTACCCCCACCAAAAGATCTGCTTGGAGATTAGTATTTGTTGGCAACTGTGTGCTAGGTCGGAGGTACACCATCTAGGGTTTGGAGTGGTGCGGTCCTATATGCTGGATCTGTGAAAGTGTCTCTTGCAGGGAGCTGCTAATTACAATTTGTAATCGCAATAAAAAAAATTGTGTGTCTAGAATCGAAGTTGCTGGCCTGTTTTTTTTGGCGACGTCTCAGGGAGGAGCCTAATGGTACAATATTGTGTGCAGTTTGCAAGGATTATAGGAATTGTACAGGCATTTTGTCCACAGGCATGGAATGTCCCGGGCACGTCTCTGACTCACATCTATTCCCACATTCCTGGAAACCCTTGGGAAGACCTCTCTGCCCCGGATGACCATACTTTCTGTGACCCCGGGGCTCGTTCACTATACACTTAGAGGAGGAGTGCACTGTATCTGTCTAGACTTAACAGGTACCAAGTCCTCAAAATCATGAAATCATGGCAGTGCCATGCAAACAATAACCCTAACAGCAACTACCGTCGCCATGGCAATGTATGTTTTCATTGCCAGTCTTGTTTAAAATAGTTTAGAGTAAATGTGTTCAAAAGAGAATAACTGATATCAATACTATTCCTGCAAGTACATTAGAAACTCTAAAGTCATCAAATACATTCATTTATGCATTATCCCCAATGTAAAGAAAAGCATATCAATGAGACCATAAATAAACTGCATGCTCACCTGCGTCCGCTAGAGGGAGTGATTGATCCGTCCTCAGACTGCTCCAAGTAAACCTCATCGATGGGCGTGATCTGGAGCGACGATGACGTACTTCCGGTCAGGTCGCTGAGATCTCGCGGGATTTGGATGGACTGGTATCTGCCGCTGGAGTCACTCGCAGTTGACGAACGCTTTAAACAAGAACGAATAATACATAATCGTCTTAATATCATTTTCTCCATTTCAATTTTTTTCAATACTCCTCCATATAGCCTTTATTTTACATTTATGCACTAACCCAACATAGGCAGTTTCTCATTAACGGTATACTTTTCATATATGACAACACGCACTTTTCAAAACATGTTGCAAGCTGTCCAAAAAAAATTCAAACGGCTATGACACATGCTTTATTATAAATATAAATGACTAAGTATGAAATATGTTTGTCAGCTAAACTTAGTCAAATCACATATTCTCTTTAGCGCCCTACAAGCTGTAGTGTCTTGCAACTAACAAAATTTCACCAAGCTACAATTATTACACCGATCGCCTATATACCTTAACTGTCCAAATCCCACCATAACCAGTTTGTTTTTCCTCTAATATCGTTACATACAGCCAAGTGAATAAGCCAACTTAAAAAAAAAGAAAAACAAACAAACAAAAAACAATACCCCGTAGGGCTAATCCAGATCGGCGGCCTTTTTTGCCTTTGCCCACCGAAGAAAACGGCGGACGGCACGATAGTCAGTCTCGATTATCTCCAAGCAGATGCTACGGTACGTGGTAATTGCTATAAGGCTGTTTACAATGGCCAGAGGAATGTCCAGTATCCATTGAAGCTGATGGATACTCCTCTGGAGAATGGATACCATGCCCATGCCCGTAGCAAGGATTTTGGTTCGGAGGGGGGGGGGGCGGGATTGTTCTTCTCACTGTCTAAGGTACGAGCGAGTGCTGCAGGCGCAAGATGCCTAGAGGGGTCCGCCCCGGAATTGAACCTTCTGAAATGGCATTCCCTGCGTTTTTGAGAGGGTTTCAAGCGAAAAATCAGAGAAATAACGTTTTATTCAATGACAAAGTTAGCACTAGTATTTTATGGGATTCCAACCCCACTGGCGATACAAATCAGTCCAGCTTTTAAAGAAAAATCTTGGACCTTTAGATAAAAAGGGAACCCTTAAGCCTTGTGGTGGGGTCTTCCGAACCCCGCCTCCCGAACCCCCCTGGCTACGGGCATGGATACTGTTTTCTTTTAAAGGGTAAAAGAAAAAAAAAAACATCGCTACCCCTTCTTCATGAAAATACAGACAGGTGCATCTGGAAAAACAGGAATGACGATAGGAAATACACTAGACCAAAGGCCAGAATATATACACTTTTTACAATATCAGAAAGTTTTCACAATATTTAAAAAAAAACGCAGAAAATCACCAAAATATAGCTCTTACGTGCAACCGTGAGAAGCGCTATGTCCGCCTACAACGAGAATGTCACGAAGGACGTTTGCTATGATACCGAAATGATGGACAAGACATGTCGTCATGTTCCCTTTGTGCCGTACTGTTGATAATATCAGGGGTTGAACCGGCCACAGAGGAGAAGAAAGGAACCGTAATCCTTGGCTTAAGGCCACAGGTCAGTCCAGTTTTTAAATCACTCAACAAAAGGGTCATCTAGTATTTAGCTACGGTAGCGGGTTTCTTGGTTGTATTTCTTTTGGAATATCATGTACTGTTTACTTTTAGGCCACAACAATTTTATCAACTGGTCCTCGGATTCACCCTTGTCAATTTTATTTTGATTGAAAAATAAAACTTGAATCAACTTGGGAAGGCTCCTATTTCCATATAGACGTTTAGCTGCTTATTATAAGTTTAAAATTCATTGTTTGAATTACAAACCAGCCTGGTATGTTGACCTCTTTTCCTATCGTAGCATTTGGGGCTATCATAGGATGAATAGGTCTGGGGATATTTTTGGTCTTGCTGCCTCATTTTTTTTCTTTTTCAAATAAAAAACGTACAAAGTAAATTCATCTATTTTGTCAGGAAAGAAATTCCTTCGTCAGAATTTAGCGATGGATGACGCAAGTTTGACATTTCAATCTTTCCGAACATCCCAATCCTATTTTGGAACAGATATGTAATTAAATATTCATTACAGATGTGTCATTTTAATTTTCTTTCAGCCTATTCATTTGGACTTTCTTTCAAATGAAAAGGTACATGTAAATAAAGGACTCGTGTAATGTTACATGAATTTTTAAAGCGAGTAATTTACTATAAAAGCTACTGGGATGAAGGTACTGATCCCTTGTGAAAGAAATCGGGAACATGGCAGGTTTAGCAGTACTTTGGCGGATGTAATTCTTTACGGTACGGTACGGTAGGTCAACCTTCGGCCGTAGTCACGGGTACCAGAGTAAACAGTGCAATTTTACGAAATACAGTGCAATTTTGCGGAATACAGTGCAATTTTGCGGAATACAGTGCAATTTTACCGAATACCGTGCAATTTTACCAAATACCGTGCAATTTTGCGGAATACAATGCAATTTTGCGGAATACAGTGCAATTTTACGGAATACAGTGCAATTTCACGGAATACAGTGCAATTGTATGCATATATATATAGTTGCACCATTGCATTCTTATTAGTATACAGTGCAAAATTACAAAATACAGTGCAACTGTATTAGTATACAGTGCAAGTTTTTTTAGTAAAAGTGCACTGCATACTAGTAAAATTGCACTGTATACTAATACAATTGCACTGTATTACGTAAAATTGCACTGTATTCCGTAAAACTGCACTGTATACTAATACGATTGCACTGTATTCCGTAAAATTCCACTGTATACTAATACGATTGTACTACAGTACTGTTTGTTTGTTTGTTTGTTTGTATTCCGTAAAAATCCGTTGTATACTAGTAAAATTGTACTGTATTCCATAAAATTGCACTTTATTCCGTAAAATTACACTGTATACTCTGGCACCTCTGGTAGTAGTCGTCGCTTTAGGTAGCAACCGATGTCTTTCATCAAAGAAACCTGTCTGTTATAATACGGCAGCAAATTGACAGCAAATTAGAAAAGGTCGTTGCACATGTGAATATTTTATGACATACCTTCCCAAAATAGGCTTTAGATGTTAGAAAGGGGCTGGCTTAAAGGTTATGTCACAGCGTTATATTTAATAAACTCTGACGTAAAATACCCCCCCCCCACACACACACACACCTTTACCAAGATCTGGGAATATGGCAGGTAATTGAGTGCCTAAGTACATATGCATTCAGCAATTTTATTACATGAAACTTTTTTTCTATTGAAACATATAATGACAAGACGCGGTGGCGACACACTCAAGATACACTTATATTCATGTCGCCACCAGGCAATACATAATACATACAACAAGCAAAGCACAGATAACATTGGAATTGAATACTATGATGCATCAATGGACAGGTGAAACAGATATATAAAAATGCCGACGGGATTGATCAATAAACTATGTTACAAAAAACGGTGAGATTCCAACAAAAATACCTGGACATGCTGTACATGAAACTTATTCATGACATTATACCTAAACAATTATACCGAATACGATGCTATTTTAAGGGCATACTTAGCAATTGAACGAGTATGGAGAGTAGGGCACATGGCATAGCAATGTTGTTTGTTAGGTACATCTGCACATCAAAGTATATACTTACCGAATTGCACTATATTATGGAACTTTTCTACAACTATGGCAATGAATTGGAATGAATTCAGTCAAACTGCTGCATATACTAAAATAAAAGCACGAATCTAGGAGGATCATCCACGTAATGCCGGTATAAGAGCTTTGTACACAACAACAACCAGACGACGCACCAGCTATGCGTGTGGGTGTGTGTGTGGTGGGGGGG